AAAAAAAACTTTTTGTTTTCACGATTCTTCTCTATTGTAAAGAAAATTTATTTTGTCTTCACGTATGTATACAATTGCAATATAAAAAATAAAAAAAAACTTTTCACACAATAAAAATATTAAGCGTGCCTAACGTTTGTTAGCTCAAAAAACCAATCGTTAGTTCAATAGTTGCGAGACAAAAGAAAAAAATTTTAAATAAAAATTCGATATTTAACGTTTGTTTAAAATTTTGATATTTAACGTTTGTTAAATTTAAATAAAATTTGATATTTAACGTTTGTTATTTTGAAAGCCAATCGTTAGCTTAATAATTGTGATTGTTTCATAACAATGAACAGGCTATTAATTTGATATGCACCATGGAAATATCCGCACAATCCGACAGGGGGGGTGGTTTAGCCCACGAAATACGTTATAACAATTATTGTGATAATGAATACTAATGTTTAAATGTTATCACACGATGCGACAATTAAGTTTCAGGATTTTGATTTTTGGGATTTAGGGTATAATCGTCCCGTTTCCACTATACTTGGGATTTGGAACGAATTTTTATTATATTTGGGATTGGGATATGGGACAATTTTTCTATATTTGGGATTTGTGATTTGGGTGGGATTTTGAGAATGATAATTTTGCCAACAAGTATAGTTCCCACAGATTTGTTAAATATTTGGTTATCCAGCTTTGGTTTTAGAGAGATAACTATATATAGGTATGTTTTTAAAACTAAAAGCAGATTTTTTTCCGTTTCAGACCGGTTTTAAAACTAACCGCAGTTTATCAGTTTAGAACAAACTACATACGTATATAACATCTCCGTTAAGCCGAACTAATCCATTCCTAGATCGGTTTTAAAGAACAAATTTGGATGCCTGCTAATAAATAATGCAACACAAATCGACTGTCAATGGTAGTAAAGCATAACTGGTACGTATATTGACCTAAATTAATTACTGAAAAAAGTTAGTGTTAGTGTTAGCATAAATATGTAAAACCTAATAGCAATAGAATCTTGTACGTAATACTTCTCAATTGTATTCTGATTTCTCAGATCAACAATCTTTACGTCCATTTAGGGCAATATTAATGCTAGATATTTACAAAATAATTTTCACATGACAAGATCATGCTGCCGAATAATATGCAAGATTTCGAACACAAAATCTTGCTCGTAAATCATACACTTCGATGCGTTACGTTCCTGGTATATCGATATGTGTCTTATCTGAAGTTACAATTTATCTGAAGTTGCCACTTTAGATATCTAAAGTAGCATTTATCTAGAATTAAGCCCCTGAAATCAGATCTTCAAGATGTTTTATAGAATAGGGTGAACAAACTCCGCAAACTCCGCTAAGTATTTATTAATAATTACTAATCATTAACAGAGGTTATTTCTTATATAAGTGTCGCCAAAAGAAAACCTGCATATCTAAAAATAGATCACTTATGGAATTCATAAATAATCTATTTTTAGATATGCAGGTTTACTTTTGGCGACACTCATATTGACCACCTATTCTATAGAACATCCGAACTTCATACATGTAATTCTAGTCAGATGCTACTTTAGATATTTAAAGTTGCAACTTCAAATGGGGCAACTTCGAGATGCGACATATGTAAACCGCGATAATTGAAATTGATTTTCGTACATCAGTTTCGTGTAATATCACGTACTCAATTTTTTTTTTGACAAATCAAATCGCATTATTTTTTTGATTTTTTTAGGATTTATGATTTTTATTGGTCATAAAAATAGATATTACACGAAACCGATGTACGGAAATTATTTTCCGAGTTATTAATACATAAATTTAGCGAAAATTTTTGTTGAGATTTCGTTGAATGCATTCATAATTTTCTAAAGTATAATTATTTTAAATAATTTACAATATGAAGTTTCTATTGTTTTATATTTGGTTGTTGTTGTTCACGAAAATACAAGCAATTAATGTTCCAGAAATTCCTTCTAAACCTCCGAGTCGTTCAAAACCAAATCCCGAATATAATCATCCAACAACTGATTATATTCCTTCACATGATGAAAATAATCCAAGAATCTCAGATTCTAATGAAAGGTCAAAGTCAAATTATAATTTACAAGGCGAATCACAAACAAAGCTGAAGACTTCGACAGAAGACATAGCGACATATCTTATTGACCAAATGGGGAATAAAGCAGTGGATGTCTTTAAACAGGAAGTGGTAGATTGGGCAAAAGAAAAAGGATATAGTGATAAAGAAGCCGAAGAGTTAGGTGAAAATGCAGAGAACTTAGCAAAATGTATGAAAAACTTTGCATTAAGTTTAGGAAAATGGGTATTTAATATATCAAGCGACACTTCTTGTATTTCGTGTGAACAAATAAATAGCTTATCTAGCGTCCACACGAAATCATCTCAAATAAATGTAACCGCAGCAATAGCAACCTTAAAATTATTACATTCGTTAAAAGTTACCATAGACGATACTGGCAAATGCAAATACAACTTAGCGTGTATGAATACATACGCAAATGATAATTCTTGTTTACAGAGTTTAAGTTCAGGAAGTAGCTTGAATTATATTAACCATTTCCTTATAATGATAGGAATAATTTTGGAAATAATAGTAATAATGATTATATAACATTATATGACGAATTATTGTATAATTGGAAAGACAATTTTAGTGCTAAAAAATTTGCTTGTAACATTTTATTTATCTAGCTTTTATATATTTCATTCTTATTAAAATATAATTTGCTTTCTGATATTGACTTTACTACTGTATTTAAGTTAGGGTATTCAGTCAATGGATCGGGGGATAATTTTTAATGGTTGGAAATTGAATAAATTAACCAAGTGAGCTATCATTTCGACGAACAGATCAGCGAACAACAAACCATCTTTTTTTCTTCAAAAATTTACCATTGTTAAAGATCGCTCAAGCATCACTTTTAATTTTTTACATATCAAACATAAACAATGAATTCTTAATAAATTTCTAACAGACATGAAAATAGCCATTTTATTTTTAATCCTCGAAGTTTTTAAAACAAATAATCGATACCTTGATATGAACGTAATAAATACAACCCATCTTTTAACTTTTAATCAAACCGTACTGAATACAACAAAATTTAAATATTAAATATTCGCAAAAAAATTTTTTTTATTTCTTATTGCTTTAATGCAACTTTCGTAATGATTCCATAAATTGATTCCGTCGTTGTTGCAACGAAGATTAAATTGGTAAAATCTTTAAAAGGAGAAGCACACGGCCGAAGTTAAAGTTTTGGTAACCGATTGATTTCAATTTTTTTTTAAAGTGTTCTAAGTGGTATAACGCAAATAACGAAAAATAAAGAGTATGCTCAAGCATTTGATTCTATGAATATCGTCTTTGATTGTGGTGCCTGAGCGTCGTCGCGATCATTATTTAATCAATTGATTGAGATGCTTGAAAATAACAGTTGAAAATCCTTTTATAGATTTGAATTGTTTTAACATGATTGAGGTCGTTCTCAAGTAACTCCCTCAATGGTTGATAAAATGATATTATTGGCTGAAAAAATAGATCGTGTTTAATCATTTCGGTCAAAAAACCTGGAGCTAACAACCATCTTTTTTTTTCAGAGTTACTCTGATTGACTGAAGTTTAAAAACCGCATTTAGCACTGAGTTTTCGGCAAAATTGTTACAGAAATCACTTCAATTAATTTCGATTATTCGAAATGATTGAGCAGCATCTAAATTACTTGCAAATTACATTGAGGGAGCCGCTTGAGAACAACATGAGTCTAACGTTGTAAACTTAGGCTGTTCTCAAGCGCCTTCCTCAACATCAATGAGTTTATCGAACGATTTGATTGGTCAAAAAGTTAATCGTGATTATTACTTCGGTCAAAAAAACTTGAAGCTGCGACCATCAATTTTTTTTCAGAGCTACGTTGATTGTAATCAAAGAAACTGCTCAAGCGTAAATGCCCTTTCATTTTATTGATAATTTTTTCGTAACGTGGATCTTCAACGAGACTGTCGTCACCTTACTCTTCATGCAAAAACTCTTATAACAAATAAAAAAAAAAAATGTCCAAAAAGTTAACATTCAAAGAATAAAAAATTATTTTTTTTATATGTCGTATACATATTTTATAAAATAACATTCTTGCTTCATTATATTTCGATGTTGCTTCGTTTAACGTTAAAGAATCCATACAAAGTCGCTTTGCCGGATATGATTTTTGCGTAACGACTATGTAGCCAATATGGTTGCTGTTACAATAGTGAATTGATTCGACAAAAAAGTCATTGCTCGATGATTGACCAAAAAAAATTTTGCTTGATCGATCAAAAATCAATTATATAAATTTGATCGAGTATGATCGATCAAGCATATAATTTATAAGCTCGAGTATATATATCGATCAATTATTAGGTCAATAATTGATCGATTATATCTTATCTACTAAAAAAAATTTAAAAATAATAATGTATTCTATAAAATTTTCTTGATCGATCAAATTCAACTATCTTATCGATCAAACATTATTGATCAATAATTTACCTGCTCAACTATTGACTCAACTCGATCAATAATCGATCATGATATACTCGAGTCAATTCATTATGTTACAATTATAAGTTATTTGTGAAATTGTTAAGCAGACGGATGCCGGTGGTAAAAGTTTCATTAGCCAAAATCACCAAAGTTTTAGGTGACCGGATAATCGCCTTTTTTGTTCTTGGAGCCGTAATGGAGATGATCGTAGCGTTTGAGCGTCACCTCGATTACTTTGCCAATCCAATTACATTAAGGGAGGTGCTTGAGAATGGCCTTAATTAAAAATATTATTGTAATTAAATTTAAAACCAAAAAAGTAAAATTGTTTTACTGCAATTTAATAATAATTTTGTCATTGATATATGTTAAACGGTTTTACAAAATCACACCAGTGGTGCTAACACAACATCAATTTTGGCCAATAAATTTTAATCTGCAGTGTAATGTCAATATCAGATGTAACATAAAAATCATCACTTTTTATGTTTTAACAAAAAAAATTCTTTGCAAAATTTTGGTATAAATTATACCCTGCCCCATCTTAGGCCTTAAACCTAGCCCTAATATTAATCAAATTTCAATTTTTTTCTTTAATTTGTTTATTTGTTTTGTTAAAATAATAGTAAAAAGTTAAAATAATGGTTAAAGTTTTAAGTTTTTTTGGAGGTGTATATGATAATGATCTTTATATTACATGGTATATATAATATACTGGTGTTACAATTTACTTATTGCATCAGTAATACAAACCAAAAAAGAAAAAAACAAAAATATCTTTTTTATAGACACAAATAATGCATGAGAGTCATGATGTTAGGGTTAGGAGTAAAGCATAGCATATACTAAAATTTTGCAAAGAATTTTTTTATTAGAATGTTAAAAGTGATTTTTTAGACATTTTTTGAAAAAGTCTTCATTTTTATATTACACCAACAGTTACACCTAATCTCACTATCTATATAAGAAAATTTTCTTATTTGGTTTGTATCACAGATGCAAATAATTGTACATCTGGTGTTAGTATCACAGGTGTTATTTAGTTAGGATTCTAATCTAGTTTAAAAATCTTTATCTGCAACCTATCAGATCAAACATCTTTTCTAACCATATACCTGAAGCTAAAACAAATCACCTGATTAAATTCAGATAACTCAATACACAATTAATAATTTAGACATTTTATATATTAATTATATGTAAAGTTAAATATTTGTTTGATTATCTAGTTAGACTTAGGTGACCTGTTTAATTAACAGTGATCAAGTCAAATTAAACAAAATACTACATCAATATCCAACAACTCACAGCTAAGAATACCATATATCTACAGCTGTAGCTATAGTTTATCTGATTAACAACATATAAACAATAATTGTTTATCTCTTAGAAAAACAATAAAAAAAGTATCTATATAGCTAATTACTTGAATAAAATATAGCATATTCATGAATAATATTATAAATTATAGAATCTAGATAAGTTTTAACATCTTTAGTAGATTTAGATTACAAATAAATTAGATAGTAAATATCTATAGTCTGAGTCTTATTCTTATAAAAATTTGCAGTTATTAGTCTTATGAATCAGAAAAACCTCTAGTAGATTTTTAATAGAGATAGATTCCATTTTGTAAATCTAAGAACTTGATTTTTAAAAGTTCTGAAACCTAGTTCCAAAACTTGGTTCTAGAACCTAAGTTTATAGTATAGTCAAACCTTCTAAATGCAACCCCTATATGCATGCTCTACAAAACCCTTTTAAATATATGTCTTCATTTGGGTTCAACTAATATAGTGAAGCTTCTATAAATGCGTCTCTATACCTTAAACCATCCAGCAGCCAAATATGCCTGCTAAAATATATTTTTTTATATTTTTTTGTAATTGTTTAAAATTTTATTAAGAATAAGTACTTCTATTTCTAAGCTAAAATAGAAATTTAAGATATTTTTAATTAATTATCTGTAAAATTTATAGTTTAATTTTAAAAGTAATAAAGTTATTTAATTTGAAATTTGGTTAATTTTAAAAATTTATTGTTAAATTTTTAAAAAATTTTTAAAAAAATTTAAAATTTTTATATGTTTTCAAAGAGAAAAAAATTTTTCACAATTAAGAAAAGTTAAAATTTTATTTATAAAATTATAAAAAAAATTATTATTTAAAGTTATTCTTTAAAACAAATTCTACAATTTGTATCAAAGTTATAGTATACTTATACTTAGAATTTTAAAAAGTTTATCAATAAATAAAGATAAAATTTTGATTTTTTTTTAAAAAAAGCAAATTTTAAAATTTTTACTGTATAGTATTAGTGGTTAAGTGACCAACACACATACCCACAAACAAACAGAAAATGATGGTTAGTCGTTGGGTCAAATGGACAAGACTACTAATAACAACACTTAGTAGAGAGTAAGGTAGATAATAATTTGGCACAGGTCTAAGACGCCTACTAAGTATCGTTATATATAGAAATCAGTACAGTTTTTAAAAGAATATTTGATTTGGTTTTACTTGAAGGCTTTTATTAATAACTTTATTATATGTAGAGAGATAGTACAAACTGAATTGAATCAAGTTACAAGAGAAATTCGACTTTTTATTTATAACTATTTTACAGGGCAAGAAAAAGAACAAGATGAACGCTTTCTCCCATTGATTGTCATTGAACCGTCATTGACTCAAGCCATTTGACCTTTTTCTGGTCTAATTCTCAAATTCTACTCACAGCCATTTTCATTGAAGCTTCGATAGAATCGAAAGAGAAGGCAAAAAGAAGGCAAGTTCAATAAAGGCTTCTATGCTGTCATTATTCTATATCTGTCAAGTCTATTGATTCACTCATTGACTTTTCTATTAATCATGTGTTTCTTGCTTTTATAGCCACATACCTTACTCGACAAAGTAATATTACCTTAATAGCTGTTAACTGAATCAGGTAAGTATTGCTTTCTTTAATGGGATCGTTAATGGTAGCTTGGCTTTTATAGGATCCTTGTTTGATGCTTTTATACAGAGGACCTGGTTCAAACAGGTTTACTTTCATAGTATTGTCAGGTAGAAATTATAGATCTCAGGGCATTGCAGTATAATAGCTCTTTGCGTAATGATTCGTACATTCCATATACATTGTTCTGCATGATTCTTGATTTTCATAAATA